GTGGAAACAGAGAAGCTTACTTATCCATTTCAAATCCACAACTTATACTCGAAACAGTATCTAAGTCTACTGTACCAAAACATAAGTAGTGGAAACAGAGAAGCTTACTTATCCATTTCAACTCCACAACTTCTACTGAAAACAGTATCTAAGTCTACTGTACCAAAACATAAGTAGTGGAAACAGAGAAGCTTACTTATCCATTTCAAATCCACAACTTATACTGAAAACAGTATCTAAGTCTACTGTACCAAAACATAAGTAGTGGAAACAAATGTCGCTTTATCAGAATCTTTTGAATAATGACCTGTTATTGTTTATATATTATGACAGATTTGTAAAACATTATAACAAACACATATATGGGTAAATAACGTGTGTAGTCTTGATGATCACGCCCTTGCAGAAATCACAACACAGTGTGCATAGATTGAATGTGGTGGTATGGGCTAGACACTTAGACTACCATGAGATTGAGCCATGTTGTGGTTGTCCTGTGGATAACAGTGTGGTGCACTTGAGTTGTCCAGCGTTAATTTTGGTTGTCTGAAACAACAGGAAACCACTTACTTTGAACACTGAATAACTATTACTCTCCTATCCATGAAAATACCTTTTTAGACAGTAAATACCACTCACTTATCCCATCCTTCAATGAAAAAGATTGAATTTTTTGTTCACTGTAAAGTAGATTATAATTTAAATGATCCTTCCGTGTTCATGAATTTTTCCCCAGGGTTCTTTTAAATACAGTTTGTACAATAGGTAACATTGCAGTCAGTTCAATCTGTTTAGAAATTTTCCCAAAACATTGATTATTCTAAGTTTTTTTTTTTTTATCTCTGTATTTATTTCAAATTGTTTGAAATGAACAACTGCTTTCATGGTTTTTCTGAATTGACTGAATCAGTATAAAATGTGATTCATGTTTTCAGGCTGTTTCAAAATTAGGATGGAAGAAACCTACACTGATACAAGAAAAAGTAATACCTCTTGCTTTGGAAGGGAAGGATATTTTAGCACGTGCTCGTACTGGATCAGGAAAAACTGCAGCGTTTGTAATCCCCGTTATTCAAAATATTTTATCATGGAAGAATGTAAGTACATGTATAGGTATTTTTGGGATAACATAGAACCTTTTATTCAAGTTTAAATTTGAATATTTGTGATGATATTAATATGATCATAATTTTATCCTTTCTTAGTGAGTATGAAGTATATCTTCATTTAAATATATTCAAGTATTTTTTAAATTTTTGTGGGAATGTTCTACATATCCTAGTGGTAGATATGTAATTATTTAAATATGCTGATTCATTAACCCTATCAGGACGACACCATTTTTTAAACCCCTTTCTGCTTATGTTACTGCTTTACATTCAAAATTTAATTAAACCACTTTACAATCAAGGTATTTTAATGAAATTATTATTATCAAATATGTTATAATTCAAAGTTTTATATTATCTAAGTTTCCAAATCGATGATGAGGAACCCACTTTGAGACTAATAATGATTGGAGACAGCTTGAATGGGTAATGAAGAAAAACTTTAATGTAAG